CATCTTCAGTAAGAATAGAACCAGATATGACATCAGTATGTCATATCACTTTGTCCATGGTCTAAGTCAACAGGAACCCTATTTTTGAATCAGTCTCTCGGTTTCATTTCTCTGTCCTGTTTAGGTATCTAGACCCTTGAGTGACAACTATATCAATGCTCAGAGCATCTAAAACTCACCAAAGTGTGCAGGTGAGGTGTAACCACTGAGTCACCTGGGCTCAGAAAAATCCCACATCAAAGGAGTATCAAGAATGGACGTTGCTGAGCATCTGCTTGGTGTAGGCCGCTGATTGCCAGTTTACAGAGGTTTAATTCCTGTTGTTCTTATTGGTTTTCCCTGTTCTCTTGTTTTCTCTAAATGTGCAAACAAAGCCAAGATGAAAAAGTGGAGCAATACACTATACTGTTCACATTTTAAAATTTATTTGATTATTTATATCCCACCTTTATTATTTTTACAAATAATTCAAGACAGCAAACATATCCAGCACACCTTCCTCCTTCTATTTTCCTATAACTGTGATGGCGAACCTATGGCACGCGTGCCACAGGTGGCACATGGAGCCATACCTGTGGGCACGCAAGCGTTGCCCTACCTCAGCTCCAGCGCGCATGTGTCCCCTGGCCAGCTAATTTCTGGGCCTTCTGGAATTCGGGAAATGGGCTGTTTCCGGCCTCCAGAGGGCCTTTGGGGGTGGGGAAGGCTGTTTTCGCCCTCCCCAAGCTCCAAGAAAGCCACTGGAGCCTGGGGAGGGTGAAAAATGGGCCTACCGAGCCCACCGATAACCTTTGTGCCATCGTGTCCCAAAAGTGGGGGGAGCGCAGGAGGAGCACATGCACATGCGTGGGGTGACAGGGTGCAGGAGGGGGCATTGAATTATGGGTGTGGCCACACACATGCATGACACCACCACCCCCGTGCTCCCCCCGCTTTTGGAATGTGACAGCAAAAAGGTTAGTCATCACTGTCCTATAACAACAACCAGTGGTGGGATTCAGCCAGTTCGCACCACTTCGGGAGAACCAGTTGTTAACTTTCTGACCAGTTTGGCAAACTGGTTGTTGGAAGAAATTATTAGGGCAGAGAACCGGTTGTTAAATTACTTGAATCTCACCACTGACAACAACCCTGTGAGGTGAGTTGGGCTGAGAGAGAGTGACTGGCTCAAAGTTATCCAGAGATATTCATGCCTAAAAAAGTCACCCTGCTGGCTTCCATGGCTAAGGCAGGATTTGAACTCATAGTCTCCTGCTTTTTAGCCTGATGACTTAACCACTTCACCAAACTGGCTCTCACATGTAGATGGTTTGGACCTGTGTGAATCAGGACAGTAAAAGGGCAGCCAAATGGGTAGCAGTAGTAAGTAGGAATTCAACCCACTCAGAAAGAAGAAATAACTAGAAGAGGAAGAAAAGAGATGAGGGGAATAAATGATAATTATATTCTTGACACGGTTCCAAGAAATCAGTAAAATGCAGTTCAACAGAATGCCATGGTAACAACTCAGACAGTCAAAAAAAAAAAAAAGCCAGTATTTACAAAATGTACATCTCAATTGTCATGATTGATTGATTGAGTAAGTCAGTGTTGATTCCTGGTAACTCTATAGATAGACCCTATTCAAGATGATCTGTCAGCAACCTGACCCTTTGAATCTCCCAGCTGTGTTTTTGCTGCAGTGATCAAATCTGTTCACTTTGCTGCTGGTTGGCCTCTTCCTCTTTTTTCTGCTACCTTTCCCAGTGGAACGGACGTCTCGAGGGAGCTGAGTCTTCCCATAATTTTTTCCAAAATTATTTAGCTTGACCCTGGTTATTGGTGCCTTCAGTAGCAACACTGGATTTATTTGTTCTGTGATCCATGGGTCTCTGTGCTATTCTCAGGAATCTTTTCCAAAACCAACCTGAAAGCATTAAAATTCTTTCTGTGTTGTTTCTCCAAAGTTCAACTTTCTCTTCTATGGTGGAACACCATGGCCTGCACAATTCTGATCTTGGTAAGTATGGACACGTAATAGGTTGTCCTCAACTTACAACAGCTCAACTTTGGTGGTTGAAAAGGACTCCTCAGAAGACCACAGACTGTTTGAAGTTACAACAGGCCCTCAAAAAACTACTTATGGCCCAGATTCAGTGTTCTAACAACTGCTTGACCCCATTCTGGTAATGTGATTTGGGTACTTGGCAACTGGCCCCCATTTACAGCATCTAGTCATGTGACCTTGACTTATGACCTTTATGCTGAAAACTGGTGTTTATAGCAATAACAATAGCAATAACACTTAAACTTATATACCACTTCACAGTGCTTTACAGCCCTCTAAGTGGTTTACAGAGTCAGCACATTGTCCTCAATCTGGCTCCTCATTTTACCAATCTCGGAAGGATGGAAGGCTGAGTCAACCTTGAGCCTGGCGAGATTTGAACTGCCAAATTGCAGGCAGCCTGCAGGGGCAGAAATAGCCTGCATTCTAACCAATGCGCCACCACGTCTCACTTCCAGTTTGGGTTGACTTCTAGTTTGGGGAGAAAAACACACCATTGTGGACAATGGGTTCACTTAAAGACTGCTGCACTCACATAACAACCATGTTCATTTAATGATAGTCACAAAAAATGACTTACAATCAGGTGTGGTCACGTGATGACCTGCTTAACAACTGGCACAACTTATAGTTGTTATTTCGGGCTTTATTATACTTGTATGTGACTAATTATTTGTATGGCCTCTGTGTTTCCTCTGCGTCCCCATCAAGGAAGTTCAAGACTCGGAAGGAATTCCTGCAGCTCTCCTTGAAAATGATGGATAATATCACTCAAGATCATATTGTGGAAACTGGCTGGCTTTGTTCTTCCACTTTAACGTGACTTGGAAATTCCAGACGATGTGCAATTTGTAATATCTCCACAGCTAGCCTTTGGCCATGCCTTTGCTATGATAATTGAGGTCTTCCACCTTTTTGCCCCCAAAACGTGAACAATCTGATTTCTGTGTGCTTCATCTGGTGACCTTCGTGTGTACAGGCATTTTTTGGTTATTTGAAGAATGCATAAGCAATGAAGAAATCATTGGACTGGCAGAAATGGATAAATCATTCTCCTATTTCATTTCTGTTTTGTAGGTCATTGAATCCTTATTTTTCTCCAATTTTGGTATTCCAGTCACCAACTACAATCTCAGGTTGAACCTGACAATAAAACTTACCAACTCCTCTTCTTCTGCATCAGTGGTTGAAGCATAAGCTTGCATATGTTAAAGGACTATCTGCAAAATTTAATTAATATTTTTCTGTCCTTGAGTGCATTTTACCCAAATATTGGGATCAACTGAGGTTTAACCCCAGTGATTGTTGTTATTATGATGAGTAAGGTTGCTTAAGTGTGCTGGGTTCTTTCTTGCTTGGTTGAGAGAGCACCAAGGACTCTACAGTTCAACCTTGAACTATAGGCATATACAACAGTTCATTTAGTGACCGATCAAAGTTACAACAGAACTGAAAACAGTGAGTTATGAGTCTGACGGTTTTTCACACTTACAGCCATTGCAGCATCCCCATGGTCACATGATCAAAATTCGGACTCTGGGCAACTGACTCCCATTTATGATGGTTGCAGTGTCCTGGGGTCACGTGATCATTTTTTGCAACCTTCTGACAAGCAAAGTCAATGGGTAAGCCAGATTCATTTAACCACTGTGTTACTAACTTAACAACTGCAGTGATTCACTTAACAGCTGTGGCAAATAATGTTGTAAAATGGGACAAAACTCACTTAACAAATGTCTTGCTTAGCCACAGAAATTTTAGTCTCAGTAGTGGTCATAAGTCAAGGACTACCTGTACATACATTTTCTTCTATTAATATATTTTAATTACTTTATCTTGTCAAACTATGCAATTTTCTTGATAAAATAGAATTACCGAAATTAACCATTGCATTCTCCAGTGTAGTATGAAAGGATTCCATCACACTAAAGTCATCATCCACTGAGGGTTCCTTGGTGCTCTCTGAGCTGGTTGTTTTCTTGCAATGATGATGTTAACTAGTTTAAGTATTGAAACTTCTCCAAAAAAACAACCAAGCTCAGAGAGCACCAAGGATCCCACCTTTTAATCCTGAGCTACAAATATTCTCCTTTATTGACCATCTGTTTGCAACTTCTTCCTATATCGCTGCTCCCTTTTATAAGTCCATGCTTGTTTTAGTTGGGTAGCTGAGGATGACCTTCACACCTTGGGTGACTTACTAGAAGTATCACTCTTGGTTTTCAGTTGCCTACTTCCAGCCATGAAGAGGCAGCAGAGCGGAACAAGGGGAGAAAACTGTAAAGATTATGTATAAAATGTGTTTTTAAGTATACTAAAGTCACTGTGTAATTTGGTACCTTCCTTCCCAATATTTTTGATGAAAAGAAGGGAGATCCTACCTGGGTAGCCTTGTCCAGCTTGGTATCTTCTAGATCAGGGGTCTCCAACCTTGGCAACTTTAAGCTTGGTGGACTTCAATTCCCAGAATTCCCCAGCCAGAGCTGGGGAGAGGGAATTCTGGGAGTTGAAGTCCTCCAGGCTTAAAGTTACCAAGGTTGGAGACCCCTGTTCTAGATATGGTGGACTCACCTCTCCCAAGGTCCAGCTCTCACATCTTCTGACCTGTTCCCTATAGCCACGAGAACTCTTGAATGCCATGACAGTTCCAACAATCTCTCTCTCTCTTTCCATCAGGTGGAAAAATTCATGCCATGAACTTGTTGGGAGGGAAACATTAAAAAAAATGACAGATTCCCACATTTCTTGTTCTAAATTCTAACAAAAACATGTATAGGTATGAATAATCAAGCAGAAGCTGAAAGATTAGTCAGGCTTTTTCTCCTTTCTTATCGTTCTCATTAGTAATGCTTAGTCATTCTTTTCTGTGTCACAGTGACATTTTCATTTTTTTAGATCCTATAGAGACAACTGGCATCAAATTATTCTGTCAAGCAAGTTAATACTTTAAAGGAATCTAAAATACAGTGGAAGGAATGGATAAATAGAAACTAGAAGAAGTTGGAACAATAATTGTAAGGTCAAGTCTCCAGGGACACAACTAAGGACAGGGAGCCACAGTAGATTCTCCCCAGGTGGGTTTCCAATTTTTTTACTACCAGTTCTGTGGACATGGCTTGGTGGGCGTGGTGTGGCTTGGTAGGCGTGGCAGGGGAAGGTTACTGCAAACTCCCCATTTCCTCCCGATCAGCTGGGACTCGGGAGGCAGAGAATAGATGGGGGCGGAGCCAGTCAGAGGTGGTATTTACTGGTTCTCCGAACTACTCAAAAGTTCCGTTACTGGTTTTCCAGAACTGGGCAGAACCTGCTGAATACCACCTCTGCTATCACACCTCTCATTTGAGGTGTGATCCATATAATGCACACAGATTTCTTTTGTGGGAATGAGTGATGTCAATAATTTACTTATCGTATGGCACAGGGGTGGGTTCTAAATTTTTTTACTATCGGTTCTGTGGGCGTGGCTTATTTTGTGGGTGTGGCTTGGAGGTCATGTGACTAGGTGGGCGTGGCTAGCTGGTCAGAGTCATTTCTGGAAGGTCCTCGCACTTACGACCCGACTCATTTGTTTGCTTTTAACACTGATCAGCTGTAGGACGGCCCTTTGAAGCCCCGCGGCAAGAGTTTAAACAGTTTTTTTCCCTCTAGTCATCAGCTAGATGGGACTCAGGAGGCAGCAATAGATTGGGGGTGGGACCAAATAAAAGGTAAGAATAACATGCGTGGGTGGGTGGGCGGGGGAGGAGAACCAGTTCGGTGACGTCATATCGTCACCGCTATCGGCTCGGCCGAACTGGACCGAACCGGGAGGAATCCACCACTGGTATGGCACACTCACATCATATTTCAGAACATGAACATGGAGTAAACCACAAAACATGGAACATAAAGTCTTTAGGAAGATTACTTCGCTTGTCGCAGCCAGGAAACCAGCACAATCTCCATTAAAGGGTCTGTTTTGATACTCTGCCACTATGTGTTGGATTGCTTGTTTTTCGACCCTACAATCACCAATTGGTAATGGTGTTTTGCCCCACCTATAGATGGCATTTGCATATCTACCATGGCCAGTGCAAATTTGGTTCAGTATTGTCCATACTGCACAGGCCTGGTCAAATCCAGATGGTTTTTCCAAGATGCAAGACAAACTTCGACATTGTGGGGGGCAATTTTCTGTCCAGTGTTGTTTCTACATGTTGTGAGTGTCAAAATAACCTTTTACAGGTACTGATGTTAACTAAACTCTGAAGAATGGGTCATAGCTCAGAAGTATAACAAGGGATGCAATTTGCTCAAGACTTTAAAATATTTTTCTTATCTTAGGAGTAAGGCAGGTAAGAGAGGATGTGATAGATAATAGACATGGATAGATATGGACAGACAGACAGACAGACAGATAGATGATGGATGGACAGACAGAGCATTGACAAGTTTCTCTCTTTCTCACATAAACTAAAATGTAGGTTTATCTATTGATGTTAAAGGATGGAGACTAAAGATAGTTAAAAGCACACATTTCCCCCAATGTCCCATTAAGCCATAGAATGTATTGCCACCAAAGGATGTGATGGGCAAAAATGATGACCACAAATTTAGATGTTTTAAAAACAGAACGAAGCAACTGTGAGACAAAGAATATTTGATTAAGTGAGACTTCAGCTTAATTTAGCTTCAGAATCATCAGATGTCCTTCCTCCAGCTGTCTCCAGCTAAACAGGACCAGAAAGTACAAGTTGTAGAAATAACTGTCTATCAAGGACATTGGCAAGTTACTGATAGAGTAGACATTACTCCTGAGCTAATGATCTGACCCATTGTAAGACATCTTCATATATCGATCTAACAAAGTCTCCTTTTAGATACTTTCTGGGATCAACTGCAAAAAAATCAAACAGCTTTCTAAAACTAGCAGTATATTGTGATCATTTTTATATTATTGAACTACCACAGCAGCATTATTTAAAGAAGTATTTCTCAACCTTAGCCACTTCAAAACGAGTGGACTTCGATTCCCAGAATCCCCCAGCTAACATGATGGTGAAGTTACTGAAGTTGAGCAATAGAGTGACTAGACAGGCATTTTTCTTCTGTTTAAATGATTAAGTTACAGAGTGATTTGCAATAGAAAACCATTATATTATTTAAACTCTGGTTTTAAAATTCAGCTCTTAGACTCCATTGGAAACAAAGAACAATTGAAAAACAAGCACAATTGAAGCCTAATCACTTTAACGCCCTGATAATTTAGATTTCTGTCAGCTTAATAAATGCAGGAGCTTGGATAGGTATTGTTTTCTTCTAGCTGTGACTAGTCTGTGTTATGACTCCATCTTTTAAATTTCCTAACAAGGATGGGACACTTTTACAGCTAAACCAAATCATAAGTGAGGAATGTGGTTGGTTTTTCAGCCACAACTGTGTGAAGATGGCTGGATAAATGTCAGGTAACATTTCATTCCTGGAAAGCTGAAAAAGAGGCTCAAGGAAGATCAGCATGAGGCTTTTTAAAACCTGAAGACATTTTAAGCAATCTAATTTATAGGATGCATTACAAGTAGTCCTCAACTTACAGCAGTTCATTTAATGACTGACTGAAGTGACAACAGCACTGAAAAAAGTGATTTAGCAATAGCAATAGCACTTAGACTTACATACCGCTTCATAGTGCTTTACAGCCCTCTCTAAGTGATTTTACAGAATCAGCCTCTTGCCCCCAACAACAAAAATAAACATTTTACCCACCTCGGAAGGATGGAAGGCTGAGTCAGTCTTGAGCCTGGTGAGATTCGAACTGCCTAAGTGCTGGCAGTCAGCAAAAGTAGCCCGCAGTACTGCACTCTAACCACTGTGCCACCTCGGCTCATTTATGACAGTTTTTCACACCATTGCAGTATCTCCATGGTCACATGATCCAAATTAAGACGCTTGGCGACTGGTTCATATCTATGACCATTCCCTGTGTCCCAGGGTCACGTGATCCCTTTTTGCAACATTTTGACAAGCAAAGTCATTGAGGAAGCCAGAATTACTAACTGAACAACTGCAGTGATTCACTTAACAACTGTGGCAAGAAAGGTTGTAAAATGGGGCAAACCCACAACAACTGTCTTGCTTAGCAACAGAAATTTTGGGCTCTATTGTGGATGTAACTTGCAGAATAAAATAATTTCCTTTGGGCCGAAAGCTTAAAGCAAGAATGGATGATGCAGAACATCCTTTGTAGGATTTGGCCAACACAAAAAAACTGAATTTGATGTGATTTAATTTACATTTGCTTAAAATTAAATTTGAATTAAATTTAAATTTGATGATGTGACTACTGCTCTTGCAATTAATAATGCATCTTTTAAATATTAATAATTACAATTCAGCTCCAAATTGTGTGAAGATCACAAGAGTGACTTAATGGGATGGGTCATCACCCCATCAACACGCAGAGACCTACAAATTACTCATCTCTGACTAAAGAGTGGGAAACCAGAATATTCCACCATTTAAACTATCTAAACTTTGAATGGTCAGGGTGTGGTCTGCCGAGACCCTCCATCCCAATTTAAAAATGAATTGTAATTATTAATATTTAAAAGATGCATTATTAATTGAAAGTCACATTTGTCAAATTTAATTTTAAGCAAATGTAAATTAAATCACATCAAATTCAGTTTTTTTTGTGTTGGCCAAATCCTAGTGCTCCAATATATTACTGAAGATCAAACGTATTTTTTGTCCTCTCCACACCCCAATTACACATCCTTACCTGAAAATCACTGGATAGTCAGTAGATTCATCAAGTCTATTAAGGATATTATGAGTAAATTGATGTTTTGAAATTTTGCAGCACAGATCTCTCCTGCAGTTATCTGAGGGTCACGGACTTTCCTTTAGTCAACAGCCATTTCCAAGCCAGTTGGAAGGGACCTTGGAGGTCTTCTACCCAACCCCTGGCAAACCTCCTTTGTCAGCAATAGAACCCATCAGATGAAATCTCTGGTGGGCTTTCATTTGGGGTATGCCCCATTGAGGGTTTTTTTTTTTCAATTAAGGAAGTCTCCTCATCTCCTTTATATAGACCCCATAGGGATTCCATTGGCGATAAGAGCTATTTATTGTAGCAATAGTGTCTCAGTCCTTGTAACCTTTGCATTGCTTTTAGTAGAACTGTAGGTTTGTGGTTCTTTTTTCATTTCTTTAAAAAGCATGTTTTTGTCATGTGCCCTCCCAGTTTTATAGAAGCTTAAGGTAGAACTGTGTGAATAGATGAACAAGCAGGTGAACAAAATGTACTACACACCCAGAAACTGTCTCCAGCTTGAGAGAGTTTGGAAAATTCCATGCTTATTGCTTATAGTTTTGCTGCATTCTTGGCTGATCCTAACAAAGGCATTAAAATGTATTGGAAGCTTCTGGATGACTCCCAACTGGCCAAGAGAACCTTCTTTATGACACCTCTGGTATCTTACAAACTATTTATGTAGGGTATTGGTAGTCCTCGGCTTATGACCACAATTGAGCCCAAAATTTCTGTTGCTAAGTGAGACATTTGTTAAGTGAGTTTTGCCCAATTTCACGACCTTTCTTACCACAGCTGTTAAGTGAATCATTGCAGTTGTTAAGTTAGTAACCTGGTTGTTAAGTGAATCTGGCTTCCTCATTGGGAAAAGTCGAGAATACCTATAGTTCCTTCTCTGCTTTAATCAATCAATCAATCAATCCGAATAGAGCTGACAGGGACTTTGGAGGTCATCTAGTCCAACCCCATGCTCAAACAGGAGACCCTATACCATTTACCTATACCCTATAACATTTCAGACAAGTGAGTGTCCAGTCTCTTCTTAAAAACATCCAACGATGAAGCACCTACAACTTCTGAAGGCAAGCTGTTCCACTGGTTAATTGTTCTCACAGTTAAGAAGTTTCTCCTTAATTGCAGGTTGCTTCTCTCCTTGTTTAGTTTCCATCCATTGTTTCATGTCCTGCCCTCTGGTGCTTTGGAGAATAATTTGACCCCCCTCTCTTTGTGGCAGCCCCTCAAATACTGGAATACTGCTATCATGTCCCCCCTAGGGGCCCTAGT